CACCGGTACACGCCACATTCTACACCAAATCATCATCACCCTTACTACGCTGGAAGTACCGCGGCAGTAAATGTTACTGTTGGCAGTGCCAGGACCATGACGAGTCCACTACCAGTGTGCGTTGGTCAAGAAACGTGGGGCAATCCACCGCGGCAGCTGCATCCATGATAAAAAGGAAGTAGAAGACGTTGCGTGAGGGTGCGTGGTTTTTTGTTTTGTTTTGTTTTGTTTTTTCCTTTTTTTTCTCTCTTTCTCTCTCTCTCTCTCTTATATCAAAAAGCACCATTATTACTGGAAGGGCAAACACAGACGGAAGTAAAGAAAACTTGAAAAAAACGCCACCAAAGAAAAGAAAAAAAAAATAAATAAATATAAGGAGAAGAAAAACGTGAAAGAAAGAAAGAAAACTGAAAGATATATTTACATTTGTATTTACATATTTATTTGGAACAAAGAGGAAAGAACATCGTTTAAGTCAAAAAAAAAAAAAATGAATGATGCATAAATAATAAAATAAAATAAAAAGGAAGAAAAGACGAATGAAGAGGAAACATCGTCCAAGAACGAGTGAATTATTGCTACAGAGGGAAGTGAAGAGACAGAGAGGCACACAAAATACATTTGTATGTTATATATATGCATATATGCATGCATGCATGCTTATTTTTACTTACACATTATATTATATTACATATATGTCATATACATGTAGAGAGAAGGAGAGAAGTGTAAACTTTAGAAGGAAAGACGGCTGTAAATTCCTTTGGATAAAAAGAGAGAAAAGAAGGAAAGAGAAAGAGAGAGAGAGAGAGAGAGAATACAGAAGAAATATGGAGGGGGGGGGGGAAAATAAAAATAAAAACAACAAGAAAAAAATAAAAATAAAAATAAAAAGAAAAGTAACGCAGGCATATGGGCTAAATTTAATGCAAATGAAGTGTTCTTTTTCTTTTTTTTTTTTTTTGTGTGTGTATATATTTATATTTCCTTTGCGGAATGAGAGAGAGAGAGAGGGGAGGTAACGGCAATGAAAGGGAGCGATTATTCACGTACTTATATTTTGTTGTTATTAAATCTTACTTTTATTATTATTATTGTTGTTGTTGTTGTTGGCCCGTCTTTTTCTTTTTTCTGTGTTTTGTGCGTTTTTTTTTTTTTTTTTGTCCTGCAGGGAGTGTAAAATACACACAGTGAGGCCTACATGTGCTTCCGTGCAATAATGACGCATACGGACATGCAGACATGCAATTATTATTATTGTTGTTGTTTACTTGGTAGAGAAAATATCAAACCTTTTTTTTTTTTTGTTTTTTGTTTTCTTCTTGTTTCTTCTTGTTTTTGTTTTTGTTTTTTACTTGGACATTTCCCGTGTGTTACTGTTTGGCGCCTTATTTATTTCCTTTCTTTAATGTTAATTTGTTGATGTTCCACTCCGTTTCCCTCTCACAGAAGTTACGTTGCTGCTGCTGCTGCTGCTGCTGCTGCTGATAATGTTGATAATAATAATAATAATGATGATTACATTCATTTATATATTTATATGCGTACATGATTATTTTATATATTTTATATATATATATGTAAGTATTCTTGTTGTTATTTTGCTTTGGATGTGTGCTTTTTTTTTTTTTTTTTTTTTTTGTTTTTGTTTTTGTTTTTGTTTTTTTTCTTAATGAAAAGAAATTAGAAGGATGTGAATAAAGACATGTAATTAACCGCCTGTCTTTTGAAAATATTTATATATACGTTTAACATGTACACATTTCTACGCACCAGATGTTTGGCTGCAGCTACATTTTTGGTGCGTCACTGGGCGGGAGTGAAGGAAGAAAATATTGGGACAGGAGGGGGGGGGGGCGGGAAGAGAAAAGAAAAAAGCCAAACAGAACAGAGTGGGGGGGGAGAGGAGAGGGGGGGAATAATGCACGTGACGTGGAGGGATGTTCGATTTTTTGTTTTTTTGTTTTGTTTTTGTTTTTACATTCTTTTTTTTTTTTTTTTCTTTTTTTTTTCTAAATGTTATATGCATTTACGTACGGATGGGGGGAGTGGGAACCGTTTTTTTTTTTTTTTTTTGACTTGTTTTTGAGAGGAATGTTGCGCTTCTCACTTCCACTTGTATTTATTTGCGCGTGACTTCCCCTCTCCACCCCTTCTCTTTCTTTCTCTCTCTGCCTCTGTCTGTGTGTCTGTGTGTCTGTCTGTCTGTGTGTGTTTGAGGTGGCGGTGGATTTCTCCATGCCTCTTTGCCCCCCCACAGTACACCCGGGCACCCATGACACCTGCATGTATATGACGTACCGTGTCTCCAGCTGTGGGCGGGGTTGAACCCCTCTTCCCTTCCCTTCCCTTCTGTGCCCTAACCGCTGCCGTCACGCGATTCATTGCCGCCCCCATCTCCCCGCTGCTTTTTTTTGTGTGTGTGTTGTTTTGTTTTGGGACTGAAGGGAGGGGAGCGGAGGGCGTCTTTTTTTTTTTTTTTTGTTTGTTTGTTTGTTTGCGCTTTTCACTTCTTTTTGCCGTGCGGGAGTGGAGGGGCGACGGCAACAACAACAACAACAACAAAAAGAAAAAGAAAAGAAAAGAAAAGAAAAAAAAAGAAATGAAATGAAATGAAGTGAAGTCGGGTAAGAAGGAGGTGGAGGTGGACGGAAATTTATTTTCTGTTGTTTTTTACTCACTTGTTTGTTTCTTTTGTTGTAGGAGATGTACAAGCAGACATTTAACTACAGATGAAGAAATGGATGGGTGATGGGATTTAAAATATGCTTACATGTGTGTGTGTGTGTGTACGTGTGTGCTGGTAATTATTCCCGACTGCTTTTTCTTTTTTTTTTCTTTTTTTTCTTTTTTTTTTTTTGTTTGATTGTTTTATTTGCGTGTATGTATACTCACGTGTGCGTCATTTTGCACGCCCACAAGTTTTTGTAATCTCTTTTGATGTTTATTTATTTATTTATTTATTTTCAACCTAATATTTTGTTGTTTTTGTTGTTGTGCCTGTGTGTTTGGCTCTCCCTTTACCGTTGGAATGAAATGAAGACACATTTTTTTTTTTCTTCTTCTTTTTTCTTTCTTTTTTTTTTTATTTTGGCCGCTGTCCGCCTATCCCCCTTTTCGTGTGCATTTGCGCACGACGTTTGGTTGAGCCGTGAGGGGAAACAAGATAGCATACAAACGCATAGGTATACAGGCATATAGTAGTGAGAGGGAAAGAAAGCGAGAGAAGAGAAACCGTTTTTTTTTTGTTGTTGTTGTTGTGGTGGTGGTGGTGGTGGTTGTTTGTTTGTGTGTGCTTTCTTTTTCTGCCTCCTCATCACCGACACACGGACAGACAGACAGGCATAAATATATTTATTTATTTATACATACAAATTACATAGCAGCCAGGAGGAACAGCAGCAGCAGCAGCAGCAGTAGTAGTAGTAGTAGTAGTAGTCAAGAAGAAGCCAAGGGAGAAAGCATGTCAAAGGCATTGCCGCCCATTAAACCGTTGTCGCCGCGTGGGCGTGATGCGTACAACGGCTCTGGGCGTCCCCGGACGGCCCTACAAACTCCGCTCACCCCTCCGGAGGGGAACGCGCGAGTCCCAACAGCGACAACAACAACAGGGACGGCTCAATCCTCCACAATACGTGTTCTCTCTCGAGAAGTGGGGTTTTCACTGGGCCCGGTGCAGGATCGTTTCTTGCCGCCGTACAACGACCTTGAGGATCCACACCTGGCGCAGTACTGGGCCCGCCGTGAGTTGCTCATAAGAGAACTCGCCGAACGAAGGCATGAGTTGCAACGACAACGGCGGCTGGAGCGGAGACGCCGCGAGATGTTACGTCGGCGTTTTGAGCGACGTCGGCGGCGAGAGTTAGAGGATCTTTCTGCCAAAAAGGGATACGCGTCGCATCGGCGAGAAATGGAGGAAGAGGAGCAGGAGCGGCAGCGTTCTGCGAGAAGGCGTCAGCCACATCCACCCCAGGCCAACAGATCCTTCAGCGGTAGAAACCGATCATGGAGACGAGGGTATGACGTTTCCGCACGCAACAATCGGCCCGCCACGGCATCTTGTGGTGCAATTATGGATTACAGTAAGAAAACCCCACTTTCGCAGAGACAAACGAGTGCGAGGAAAGCCAACCAAGAATCATCTCTCCACACAGCCGTGCATCATCGTCCATCCAAGGAAATGCCCACAGAAACGAAGAAGACGGCAAAAACGGACACGTCAGCACACAAAAAAACAGTAAATTCAGCAAAAGCCGTCGCGGCGGCAAAAATAAGGGCCGCCGCAGCAAAAGCAGCGGCAGACACACTAGAGGGGGAACCCAGCGAATTTCAATCTTCCCTAAACACACCGATAAGGTGTAAATACCCACAGGAGGCTGACACGAGGACGGAAGCACCAGCGCAACCAAAGTCTTCTAAAAAGGCCGATGTATTCAGTAATTTCACCGCATCCACATCTTCTTCATCTTTATCCTCGTCGTCATCATCGCGCAGATTCAGAAGAAATGGAAGGCGGCAGCGGAACAACAAGTATAACAGCAACAAAAAATCTGCGGCATCCGCCCGCTCCGCCAAAAAGAGGGCAGTGTCGCCACTCTCGTCACAGGAGGTCCAGGCTGTGGTGAATGCAAGGCATGCCACGCCAAGTTATGACGAGTACGACGATGAATATGAGTCCGAGACACCCGCTTCCCCCAAGAAGCGGCCCGCGGTGCTCTCGTCACAGGAGGTCCAGGCTGTGGTGAATGCAAGGCATGCCACGCCAAGGAATGACGAGTACGACGATGACTATGAGTCCGAGACACCCGCTTCCGCCAAGAAGCGGCCCGCGGTGCTCTCGTCACAGGAGGTCCAGGCTGTGGTGAATGCAAGGCATGCCACGCCAAGGAATGACGAGTACGACGATGACTATGAGTCCGAGACACCCGCTTCCGCCAAGAAGCGGCCCGCGGTGCTCTCGTCACAGGAGGTCCAGGCACAGGTGGATGCAAGGCATGCCACGCCAAGGAATGACGAGTACGACGATGACTATGAGTCCGAGACATCCACTTCTGCTAATGAGCAGCCCGCGGTGCTCTCGTCACAGGAGGTCCAGGCACAGGTGAATGCAAGGCGTACCACGCCAAGGAATGACGAGTACGACGATGACTATGAGTCCGAGACATCCACTTCTGCTAATGAGCAGCCCGCGGTGCTCTCGTCACAGGAGGTCCAGGCACAGGTGAATGCAAGGCGTACCACGCCAAGGAATGACGAGTACGACGATGACTATGAGTCCGAGACATCCGCTTCTGCTAATGAGCAGCCCGCGGTGCTCTCGTCACAGGAGGTTCAGGCACAGGTGAATGCAAGGCGTACCACGCCAAGGAATGACGAGTACGACGATGACTATGAGTCCGAGACATCCGCTTCCGCTAATGAGCAGCCCGCGGTGCTCTCGTCACAGGAGGTCCAGGCTGTGGTGAATGCAAGGCGTACCACGCCAAGGAATGACGAGTACGACGATGACTATGAGTCCGAGACACCCGCTTCCGCCAAGAAGCGGCCCGCGGTGCTCTCGTCAAAGGAGTTCCAGGCACAGGTGAAATATAAGACTTCTTCAAGTTCCTCCATATCTCGTAGCAGTACGAGTTCGCGTTCGGGTGATTCAGATTTGGATGAGAGTGGGCGGGGGGACCCTTATCACGAGTTGGGTGATGCTTCAGGAAAACTGAAGGGAAACCAGAAAACAAAAGTGACTGCCAGTGCTAACGGGTTAGGGCCAGGTGTATCTTTAAATAAATCAGCCAAATTTTCTACTTCGTCCCCAAGGAGCAATAAAAAAGAGCTCAGTGAGAATGACCTGGTAAAAGACTCTAGTTATGTTCACGACGAGTATTAGCAATCCCTAGGTCGAGCACACTAGTTAAAGAAAGTGTCTTTTTTTTTTTTTTATTGTTTTCTTCTTTGAAGACGTAAAAGAAAGATGGAAAATCGGAGGATGAAAGGAAAAAGATGAACGCTGAGCCGACGTGAGGGATCTAAAAGTGGTGATGCGGCAGTGCACATTTGCTGGAGGGGGGTGGGCCAGTAGGGGCGACGTGCCATCGCTGCTCATCTATAAACGAAATGCTCGAAAGTTAAACTGTGTGAGTGAGTATGTATATATATATATATACATAGACACAGATGGACAGAGAAAAGAATAGGAGGATGGTGAATTGCTGCTCTTAGAAATTCATTTGGATTTGTCTGGTTCTTCTACCTGCCACCACCTCTTTTTTTTTTCTTTTTTTTTTCTTTCATATTTCTTTCTTTCTCTTTCTCTCTCTCTTTTTTTTTTTTTTTTTTTTTTTACTATTTGTATCTTTTGCCTTGAAAGTCATTATGTAAACATATTTATTTACGTCTTTTTTTTTTTCCTTTTTTTTGTTTGTTTATCCCTTTTGGTATTTGTGCGTGGGGATTTTTTTTTAACTTATTTTATGTGCTGATTTCATGTGGATCGCGTGGGAGGATGGCAGTGAATTGACAGGAAGACAAACGAAGAATGGTGAAGGGAAGAAAGAAGAAAAAGAAGAAAAAAAAAAAAAAAAAGGAAAATGGAAAATGGGGGAATATTGGCAGGAAAAATACAGCACAATATTGGGTGGAGGGGGAGGGGAGCTGTGCAACAGGCAAGAACTAGATATTTCTCATGTAAAAATAAAATCAAATGAATTAAGGAGAGAAGGGAAAGTATGTTGAGGGAATGAGGCACATATTGACACAACAACGCAGACAAGGGGGGGAAAAAAACATACATATGCATATATATATATATATATATATGTATGTATGTATGTACATGTATGTATGTATGTATATAAGGAAAGAAAGTCATTTTAAGAGCAAAGGAAGAAGATATAAATAAATAAATAAATAAATAAATAATGGGTTCGCCCTGTTCTGCTCAGAAACGGAAGTAAACACAAAAATTGTTCTTATTTTACCCAACCGTTCTCATTCTTTTCTTTTTTTTTTTTTTTTTCCTTTTTTTTCCTTCTTTCTTCCTTTTCGTCCCTGTCCCTCCACCTTTCCCGTGCCGCCTCATTTCCTCCCCTTTTTATTACATATCTTGGTTACTTGCATTTGCCTGTACGCATCCCTCTTTTTTTTTTTTTTTTTTTAAGAGATTTATTTATTTATTTATTTATTTATTTATTTGTGTGTGTGTGTGTGGGATGTTGTTATCGTCTTCGTCATTGCCGTTTCTTTTTTTCTTCTCCTTTTTTTTTTTGTTGTTTTCTTCTCTCTGTGGTCTTCTCCTGTTCGTGAAAGGAAATATTCACACAATTCACATGTGCTCCGTCACGGTGGCCACATCCACGTCCGTCTGTGCCTGCCGGCGTGAATATGTAAACAAGCGAGGGGGAGGGGGGAAAGGGCAAAAAAAAAAAAAATATGCAAAAATAATAATAATAATAAAAGAAAAAAAAAAAAAAAGAAAAAAAAAAAAAAAAAAAAGGAAAAGTAGGATGGGCTCCACACGTTTATTTCGTTGTTGTTCCTCCTTTTTTTTTTTTTTTTTTTTTTGTTGCCCCTGTGTTTGTGTGTGCCTGCCTTCTTTTGTTGTTGTTGCCCACTCACCCTCTGCGTTTGTGTGTTTGCTGGCCGTTTTTTTTCTGTCTCTCTGTGTGAGTGTATGTGTGGCACTCTTTCCTTTTCCTTTTCTTTTGTTTGTCTCTTGACGCTGCCATGCCCACCGCACACACACACACACAAAAAAAAAAAAAACGAGGAGTTGTCATCACACGCCGGTCTTTCCGTGATTGGGACGAGCGGAGAAGATGAGTAGCGATCCTTTTCGGGATGCACCCGCCACGGGGGGCGAGGGAAAAGGGGTCGTGGAGGGCATTCGACAGCGACGGGAGAAGCTCGAGCTCTACCAGTCCCATTCACACAAAATGAAGTCACTCATGATGAACAGCGCGGGGATCCGCAGTGGGTTGAGCACAAAAAACGAACGCGCGCTGAACCCCATATGGACGAACTTCCCTACAAAGTGCGTCAAGCCCATCCGCTCCGTGGAGGAGATGCGGGAAAAGTTGCAGTACTTCACGAAAAGTGATGATGTGATGGTGGTGCGGTACCACCAGAATCGTTGCACCGCCTGCAACGCCGTAGACAAGAGCTTTGAGTTTCTCTGTCACCAGAGCGCCGACCGACTTCCAAATCTTAAATTTTACGAGATCAACAAAGACGAGGTGCCGGAGCTGACAAAAAATCTTGTGCGCTACCCGCAGGTGAAGGGATTTAGTGGCGGGCACTGGACGGACTTGGAGTTTAAGCCTCCCGCCGATTTTCGCGAGGAATTGTACATGGCGGTGGAGAGGGAGGTGAAGCGTCGCAAGGACGAGGCTCGGCCCGTCACGGCGCTCGAGGCGGAGGAGATGTATTTTTCCGCCGCCGGTCCCTCCATGCTGGAGGTGCTCGAGGAGTCCATTGTGAAATTTTACGCCAAGTCGCAAGTGCGACTGCATAACTACTGGAAACAGGTCTCGGTGCGGCGATCGTGGTTCTTCAAGAAGTTCATTGAGCCTAAGGTTGAGGAACGCTTGCGGGAGGAGTGGCAGATGAAGTCGTTGTTTGGAGAGAAGATTATGTACGGCCCGGAGCCAAAAATAGAGGAATTGTGAGCAAACAGAATGTGAGAGTGGGTGGGGGGACAAAGCAAAAGAGGTGGTGAGGGTGGTATGAAAAGGGGGTTGGGGGTTAGGGAGTCACGGCCCAAAGTCTCCGCCAAACACGGAACTAAAAGATGCCGCAAACCAACTGGATGCAGGTGCCGTTTAAACACCGTGCGGTGCAAGAGGGGGAGAAATGGAAGGGTTTTGAAAAACACATATCAGTGGCGTCAGGGAAATGAATATCGATATGTTTGTGTGTACGTATATTTATTTACCTGTTGTTGTTTTTATATTTGGCGCTGTGTCGATTATTATTATTATTATTACTATTATTATTATTATTATTTATGTGTTCATTTTGTTGTTGTTTTTGTGGTTAACTCCGCGCACAGCGGAAAAGGAAGCAAACAAATTGGGACATTTTTTTGGCGTTTCTTTTGGAGCCGTTGCTGGTGGTGGTTTTATCTGCTGTGTGATCCGCGAATTGATACTCGCTATTCCGAGTGGTGGGGTTGCAGAACACACACACACACACGCAGGACAAGACAGCGCGCGTAGGCGGTTAACAGGACAGCAATGTTGTGTGTGGATGCGGTCCACCGTGATGTTTTGGTTGCCAAACGCCTTGCAGCATCCTCGGAGACCCCTGCGCTTGGGAGACCCACGCTACCCCTCGCACCGGGTTCTCTCCCTATCACGGTGAGTGATCCCTTGCCGCATTCGAATGGAACGATAGTGGTCACGATTCGTCTTGAGCGCGCTTTTGCAGGCAGCAGGCAAGCGGACCCACACCCCGCATCCGTTATAGTGCGTATGGAGTGGGAAGTTTTCTTCAGCGTCGCGTACCCTAAAGAGCCCTGCGTGTGGCGGCTGGTTGATGGGCTTCCAGCAGAAAGCAGCACGGATGTCGACTATCGGGTCGTCCGCCTCCAGTCATTTCTGATGGAGGAGGTGCTGTCGCGCCTGCCAAAGGCAAAAAAAACGTACCTCGCTGCGTACGTGGGGGAAGCAGGTGGCGGTGGTGCCACGTATAACCGCCCATCACGGGGTGACACCGCAACATTGCGGTCCCAAACCGAATTATCGACAGGCACCACCTTGGCGGAAATGTATCCAGGCCTGGGCAGCAGCGGCAGAAACAACAACAATAACAAAAAGAGGCAAAATAGCAGCAGCTGTTCTAGACAAGACAATAGCCATAACAATGGCAACAATAGCAATAGTAACAAGGGCGCCGTCGGAGTTGTCGTGTCGCCATTTTTATCCGATTTTGCATTTCTCTGTAGTTGGTGGTCTGCACTGGAGCTCGATGTGGGTTGCATCATTTCAGAGCGTCAGAATTTTATACTTCGCAACATCTCCAGTGGGAGTATGGTCTTACTAGAGGAAGATGCGGGTAGTTGCCGTTACATCCGACAAGGTCGTGGGGTGCATTTTCTGGATGAGGTCGGGGGAAACAGAGTGCAAAATCCTGGACGTGGGTTCGCGGCTGTCTTCATGCCCCGTGGCGATGTAGTTGCATGGGGACTGCGGCAGCTGCCACAAATTGCAAAGAAAAAAAAGGAAGAGGCGAAGAGCAAGACGGTCACTGGCACGGCAAATCCCTCAATATTGGGAACAGCGTCCCATGAAATGGTACCACAAAAATGTGGGGGAAGCTGGAGCGGGTATTACACGGACTACATGGAGGCATCTGGACGGCTTGGGTATCATAATCAAGATGATCAGTACCACTTGCAAAGCCGACGCGCACAGCAAGCGCTTCGAATTACTTCGGTCCGAAGCGACATGGCTGGAGCGGTGCTACCTTCTCTGCTGGTTTCGAGTAACATTTTGCGGACAGGAGTCTACGAACTGAATGACGTCTGTCTTTATGCAAATTACCCATCTGTGGCTTTGTGTCAGAATGCCCTGATTTTGCGGGAGGGAAAGGCGCTCAAAGATGTCTCAAATGCATTTCTAATGTTGCGCCATTTAATAAAAGGGGTATCGCCGCATGCACCTTCGCGGTATGCATTGCAGCTGCTAGCTCCCGCGTTACATGAGCTTGTAAAGAGCATGCAGGAGCAAAGGAAGCCGTTTTGGGCGGGGGTGGCTGTCTGCTGCGTGTTATTGCCGGCGATCCTAAACGACCGACCCATGCCGTTTGAAATCACCGCTCATTTGATTGACCCCGTGGAGTGTTATCGTTGTGTATCGATAGTTGCTATGATATTTTCCACGGTAGGGGCGACCAACAAGTTCCGTGAGGCAGAACTAACAAGAAGCGCCATCCTTAGCGCATATCGTTGTAAAAAGTCACCCATGTCACTCATCAGGAAAAGTGTGGATTGTGAAGAATCTAAAAGCAACAGTGGTAAAATCCCACCTGTGTACCAAATACCGATCACCGAATGTGCCGTCTGCGGGATGCCTTTGCTGCGGGACACAAGACGGGGAAATGGCACCGCCACCGGTAATCCGTTCAACACGGGCCTTGGAAGTGGTGATGATGCGGTCCTGGCCTCTGCAAGAAAAGACGGGTGTATCATTGTTCAGTGTGTCCGCTGTGGACACGGAGGCCACGTTGCGCATATTCTTGCATGGTGGAACGATAAGAACGTTCGCTGCTGTCCCAAAGGGTGTGACTGTCTTTGCATTTACTGAAGCTCAACGACAAGTATCCGTGACTTTTTGTGTTGCTGCTGTTCCTTCTTGTCTGCATCACTCTTGGTTTACATTGGTGGCGCGACACGTCGGGGCCGGCATTGCATCCGCCGCGGTCCAGGTTCGATCCGCTAGCGCACTGCGCTACGCCCCACGGCACTTTACTCGGCTATGCCCTCGGCATTCCCGCCTTCAGCAATTGCCACCGGCGCTGGAATTCGAAGTCGCAGGCGTTTGTCACACTTGAGCATCCACACGACGTGCGGCAGGAGCCGTTTTTGTTGGGGACTCTGCGATCCCGCAGCACCGGGATCCGCTGGGTGGCGGCGGAGTTCATTGCCCGCACCTACTACCTGCACCGAGGCATGTCCTTCATCTATGGGGCGCCAGATGCCCCCGAGTACTGGTCGGCGCTTGAGTTCCACGGGCCCATGGTGAGGGAACGGGAGTACGAAACTCTCGAGCTGCTGAACTCCGCGGAGGCCACGACGGCGAAGGAACGCAAGCACCTCGCGCCACGGGTCCTTGACGTCGTTGTGTGGTCACCGATGGAAGAACGCGACCTGCCCGAGGGCCACATTGCCGTTGTGGTGCAGGTGGAGGATGATGTGGAGGCCGCGGGAGGGGAGGACCGACTCCGCGAGCTTCGGAAGTTGCGGCTGCAGCCCCGGTTGTTGTACATTGCGGAGCAGAACTTTGACAACACGCACTGGGGATGCAAAAACTACTCGCGCGTGCTGCGGTTCCAGTGGCGAAATGGCAGGGAAGCGGTGCTGCAGGACCCCTTGGAACTTCCGATCATCGGTCGAGTGCGCCCCGGGAAGCCGAAGCAAAATACAGATGTGGAAGACGATCTCTGACGCACCGTGTATCGGCGTTTGTGCCGCGTGCGACAGACTCTGTTGTTGCTACGCCGCGAAGCCTTTCTTGGAACGCAGCGAGCACGTGTACGCCGGTGTCTTCCTGAGCAAGCACGTGAGTGTGGACGTGAAACAGCAATAGGGCCATGCTCCCCGTATGCATCTTTTTTTTTTTTTTTTTACAAGCGGGGATGTGGATATATTTTGTTTGTTTGTTTGTTTGTTTGTTTCATATGGTTGCTTGTGTTTTTTAAGTTTTTTTTTTTTTTTTTTTTTTTTGGAATGTTGTTTGAGTAGAAGCCAAAAATAACATACAATGGCCGCCGGATTCATGGAAAACAAATCGCTTGGAAGAGTTGCATGTTTGGCTTGTGTGCTGATTTGCGGCGTCTTACTTCTATGGGGATGGAGGGGAAACAAAAGGAACCCTCTTTCGGCGGAGGGGGATCCGCTGTTTGACCCACTGAAACACTGTCGCACGAGGTATGGCACAATTCTTGGGTATGCTCTCAGTGTCCCGGCTTTTAGCAACTGCCATAGAAGTTACAGTGCAGAACGACTCGTAATTACACGTTTTGGTCATCCAGAGCTTGTTGCTGACCACAACGATGGTTCCAAGGGGAATTACTGCTCGGGCAGCCCCTGGTCATCCATGGAGTACACTGCCCGCATTCTCTTTCATTACAAAGGCATCAAATATTTTGAGACGCCGACACCGCAAGAGGTGTGGTCGACCCCGTACTTCTTCAACCCGCTAGAAGCAGCGGAACGTGATAAGGAGCGACGGTATGAACCAGTCAGAGTTGCAAACTACGAGGAGGCCGCGACGGCGAAGGAACGCAAGCGCCTTGCGCCACGGGTCTTTGACATTGTTGTGTGGCCTGCACAGATGGAGCATGAGCTCCCTGAGGGCCACATTGCCGTTGTGGTGCAGGTGGAGGATGATGTGGAGGCCGCGGGAGGGGAGGACCGACTCCGCGAGCTTCGGAAGTTGCGGCTGCAGCCCCGGTTGTTGTACATTGCGGAGCAGAACTTTGACAACACGCACTGGGGATGCAAAAACTACTCGCGCGTACTGCGGTTCCAGTGGCGAAATGGCAGGGAAGCGGTGCTGCAGGACCCCTTGGGCCTTAAAGTTTTGGGGCTGGTTCGAATTGGCAAGCGTACCGTCATTTTTGAAGACGAGGATGGTGGTGATCTTTAACACCGGTAGAGAACTTTGCCACGGAGTTAAAGCAAACGTTATAAAAAGAAAAAAATGTTGTTGTTGTTGTTGTGGTGGTTATTTTTTATTATTATTATATGTTTGTTCTTTTCTTTTTGCTGTGTTTTTATTTTGGGTACTGAACTTATGTGAATATATTTTTCCCACAAAGAAACACGGACGATACTATTTTTACAAACCTGGGCCTTTCTTTCTGCATCGTGAAGGTGCATGCTTCTTTTCCTGTGTGACAAATCCCACACATCCATGTGCACATGCTTTCGTGCCGCTATAATATACGCCCAACGTGTAGCTGCTCTTTTTTTTCTACCTTTTTTATTATGCGGCAGTTTGGTGAGAAAAGGATTTGAGACCTTTTACCACAAAGGCGTAGTCCTCCATGATTCACACAGCTCGAAAGAAACAATTTGGGCTTTCCGCCCTCGCGCTTTTTGTGTTGCTGCTGTTCCTTCTTGTCTGCATCACTCTTGGTTTACATTGGTGGCGCGACACGTCGGGGCCGGCATTGCATCCGCCGCGGTCCAGGTTCGATCCGCTAGCGCACTGCGCTACGCCCCACGGCACTTTACTCGGCTATGCCCTCGGCATTCCCGCCTTCAGCAATTGCCACCGGCGCTGGAATTCGAAGTCGCAGGCGTTTGTCACACTTGAGCATCCACACGACGTGCGGCAGGAGCCGTTTTTGTTGGGGACTCTGCGATCCCGCAGCACCGGGATCCGCTGGGTGGCGGCGGAGTTCATTGCCCGCACCTACTACCTGCACCGAGGCATGTCCTTCATCTATGGGGCGCCAGATGCCCCCGAGTACTGGTCGGCGCTTGAGTTCCACGGGCCCATGGTGAGGGAACGGGAGTACGAAACTCTCGAGCTGCTGAACTCCGCGGAGGCCACGACGGCGAAGGAACGCAAGCACCTCGCGCCACGGGTCCTTGACGTCGTTGTGTGGTCACCGATGGAAGAACGCGACCTGCCCGAGGGCCACATTGCCGTTGTGGTGCGGGTGGAGGATGATGTGGAGGCCGCGGGAGGGGAGGACCGACTCCGCGAGCTTCGGAAGTTGCGGCTGCAGCCCCGGTTGTTGTACATTGCGGAGCAGAACTTTGACAACACGCACTGGGGATGCAAAAACTACTCGCGCGTGCTGCGGTTCCAGTGGCGAAATGGCAGGGAAGCGGTGCTGCAGGACCCCTTGGAACTTCCGATCATCGGTCGAGTGCGCCCCGGGAAGCCGAAGCAAAATACAGATGTGGAAGACGATCTCTGACGCACCGTGTATCGGCGTTTGTGCCGCGTGCGACAGACTCTGTTGTTGCTACGCCGCGAAGCCTTTCTTGGAACGCAGCGAGCACGTGTACGCCGGTGTCTTCCTGAGCAAGCACGTGAGTGTGAACGTGAAACAGCAATAGGGCCATGCTCCCCGTATGCACGTCTCTTTCTTTATATTTGAGTAAAATTCTATGAACATGAATGCGTTTTTGTTTTATTATTTTTTTTTTATTGTATTTTTTTGTTGTTGTTGTTTGTTTGTCTGTTTTTGTTATTTGTATAATTCTAGGCCAGCAGTGATGTTAGATGATTTGTTGTGGTTGTTTCTGTTACTTGATGCGGAGCGGGTATTCCTTTTTGCTGTTTGTTGGAAAAGGGGCACGAGCCAAGTCTTTTAAATCATTTTTGTCCTTTGACCTTACTTTGGTACTATTTCTATCTTTTTTCCTTATTGAGTTTTTTGTTTCTGTGGGTTAGGGTGTGTGGGGAGGAGTGAGTTTCCGCTGTGGCCGCATTTGCAGTGATGCTCAGACTAGCCCTACAGCGCTCAGGCGTCGCTATCGCAGCCTGCTACGCAGTTCCCTCAGCCGCCATGTGTGGAACTGCGTGGTCGGCAATGATGGTGACAGCAGCAAGAGCAGCCAGATTTGAATCGAGACGCTACAGGGCGTCTAGCGCCCCTGCAACTACGCCGCAAAAGAGTGCTGGCTCGAGTCGGGGTCATGGGAGTGGGACGTCGCATGCAGGCAGCGGACACGCCACGGGCAGTCCATCCACCGCGGGGCACTTGAGCGGCAATAGCAGCCATAACGGAACGACGGCATCCATGACGGTGTCCCATGCATCTGGCACCAATAACAACAACAGCAATAACAGTAATGTTTGCAACAGCGGTGGGGGCGATGGTGGTGGGAGCAGCGGCGGCGGCAATGGGAATATGAATAACAGCGGTGGTGTCTCCTGGCTGAGGCGAAAAAAGCAGACGAAGAAGGTGTTGAAACGAAAGACAGGTCTGAAGAAAAAGCAAGTGAAGAGATCGGTGTCAGTGGCAAACACGGCGTCTGCACACATAGGCGGGGGAGCATCACGCAATGCGGCGAGTGGCGGGGCCAATTCAACTTCTTCCACCACCCCTACCGTGACCGCGAGTGGGGCGGTAAATTCTCGTCGCATAAAGAGAAAGCTCGAGCCGAAGAAAAAAAAATTGGCGACACCTAAGCTTCGTGTGTGTGTTCTCAACAGTAGTTACGAGGGCAGCGACTCTGTGACGGCTGATGTTGACAACTATCATTGCAGTCCTGCGCACTGGGTGAAAGACAAGAAACGGTATACGTTTACGGAGGTCTCCTTGCGGAAGAGCGAGTCCTATCTTCGGGTGCGGGAATTGGTGACATCAAACAACTTTGATGTCTTTTTCAATCTTTGTGATGGTGGGAAGGATGAGAAGCGGGCGGGCGTTGAAGTGGTGGAGGCGCTTGAGGAACACAACGCTGCATTCACGGGCACAGACTCGCATAGTTTTGAGCCCAGCAAGATTGACATGAAGCTCCTCGTTGGTGCCGCGGGTGTGAACACGCCTAATTTTGTGCTTCTGGAGAGCACGGAGGGGCTGGCAAAGAAGTGTCGCCACCTGCGGTTTCCCGTCATTGTGAAACATCTTTCCGGGTACGCCTCTGTTGGCATTCACAAGGATAATCGCTGTGACACTTTGGATGAACTCAAAGTGAAGGTGCGAGCCTTTTTGGCGGAATTTAACCACGCGCTCGTCGAGGAGTTTATTCGCGGCCGTGAGGGCACCGTTCTCGCCTGCGCGGACCGCGGGAGCCTTTTCGGTGTGAAGGTCTTTAAGCCACTCATGTTTAAGTTTTTACAGAACGACGATGATTTTGCATACTTTGAGAAGAAGTGGACGATGGAGTGCAACGAAAACGCCTACAGCTTCCTGCCGCACAACGATCCCGCCTACCCGCACATCATTGACACGGCCCGCAACGCATTTCGTCACATCATGAATGGAGTTGGTTACGGCCGTGTTGACTTCCGCATTGACCCAAAGGGCGACGTGTATTTTTTGGAGATTAACCCAAACTGTGGGATGTGGTACAATCAGAAGGACGGGGGTGACTTTGCGGATGTGATGGTGCAGGGCGATAAGTCATGGGACCATGACCGTTTTATCCGCAACGCTATCATCCGTGCGGTGCGGGAGCAGGCGGCACGTCGCCCGTGGTACTTCATCAGTCATGACTCCAAGGGGAACTTCTCTACACGTGCAAGCAAAACTGTGCGCGCTGGTAAAAGTCTGTTCAGCGACGCCATTCACCCCATTCCTGTCGTTGCTCAGGCGCTCTACAAATTGGGCGAGGAAGACCCCACAGTTGGCTGCGTCATTCTTCGTGGAGATCGACCGCACCAGGCGGTGGCAATTCGGCACTCGTGTGAACCAAATATGCAGTTTATGCAGGGTCGTACGCTCACTCTTGTTGCGAAGCGCACAATAAACGTGGGAGAGGAATTGACTGTCGACTACGCAACGCTGTGCGATGAAAATATGCCACCCTTTGCGTGTAGCTGCGGGACAAGTAACTGCCGAAGTGTTATTTTTCCTTCGGCTCCCACGCCACGGACGTTGGAGGGGAAAAACATACGGCAGATGTTGCGGGAAAAGAAGAAGGCATGGTACAAGGAGAAGGAGGATCGTGAAGCGGAACGCATATTAAAGAAACGGGCCTCGAAGGGAAAAGGCAATAGCGGCTCCTCAGCCTCATCCCCATCATCATCGCCTTCCGTTTCAAGCACATCCGCCGCAGGCGTGTCGTCTAATGCTGCTACTGGCGTCAATGGGAGTAGCAGCAGCGGCAGTGTGGCGCATGGCATAAATTCCAAGAAGTAGGAGTGTTAAGGAATAGCACTTGAATGATTAGTATTATCCTCATGATTTTTGTCTTGTCTCGACTACTTTCTCTTGTGGCTGAGATCTTATTTCCATAGAGATGTGGTTTTGTTAGATGGTAACCATTGAAGCAATGAAGTTTGGAAAAGAAAAAAAAAATTATATATGACATTCCATATATATATATATATATATATATATATATATATATATATATATATATATATAGAAGGAAAGAGAGAGAAGGTTGTGGCGGTGGGGAACTGGGGGTGTTGTTTTGGTGGAACTGGAGGAAGCTTAATTATATTTTTGCCGATGTCACAAAGAATATATACATATATATGTATATATATATGTTTTTTTGTGCGTTTATTTCTCTTTTCAATGTCAGGTGGTTTTTGTTGTTGCTGTTGTATTCTGTGGGAGTAAATCTTCCTGCATTGTTGACTCCAAAATGTCCGTCAACGGCTTTTTCCCAACATATATATATATATATATATATATATATTTATATCTCAAAGAAAAAAAAAAAAAAAAAAGGGAAGAAAAGGGGTTTTCTTTGTGCGCTGTTGATGATTGTTTCATTGACTCCCTAAACCCCCTATTTTCTCCTTCCCTGTCCCTCTCTCTCTCTCTCCCTCTCTCTCTGCAGGTGTGCATGTTTCGGTGTTGTTTCCAGCAATACTCCCGAGACATGACATCTGTCGGGACATAGATTTATTAGTACAACCTCAGGAGCTCCCCCGGAAGAATACACGAGCGCGGGAAAATACACACACACACACACCGGAACGACATAAAGAAAGGAAAAAAGGAAGAAAAAAAAGAGAGTGAAGGAGCGTGCATGAATGCTTACTGAAAAGAGAATAAGGTCACATTGCTGTTGGACAAATTCTTTTCCTTTATATCTTTATCTTTGTCCTTATTTTTTTATTTTTATTTTTTTTTCTTTCTTACGTGTGCTATTGTGTTGTCACTTTCCCACTCGTGCTGTCTGTGGCTGCTCCGAAAGATGTTGTGGGAGGTGCACGGGCCACCTGGTTATGCCTCATGCATGCGTGATGTGATGTTTGCGACCTCCACCAAATATACGTATTTTTTTTTCTTCTTCTTTTGCGTATGGCTTAAGAGCCCAGCCACGCGGCAGAGTGGAGACAGCAAGAAAGAAAAGGATTGGAATATTATTATTATTATTATTTTTATTTTTGTGAGTGTGTTCTCATTTGTCTTGTAGAAAAGAGGTAGAGTGACTGGGAAAGGCAACGATGGGTGAGGAATGTCATTCGTTACCGCTCGATGTTAGTGATCGCTGGATGCGGCGGTGTGGCGTGCGGGAAATAATCAATCATCTCATCATGGACCTCGTCACTGCGCACCCGGAGGATGTCATGGGGTTTATTCATGAGTGGAGTGCGCCCCGGCGGACGGGTGGGCCCACGCACACCGGCACCTCTTGCCCTGAGGGTGCGCAGCGAGAAGAAGCGGTATCGAGTGAGCGGAAGCAGAGCCATTTTTCTGAAGAGCCGGCAAGTTTTGAAGAAGACAAGGGTTGCGTCGAGGATGAAAATAAGGACGCCGGTGCGAGGTTGGTCCGTGCAACAGAACCGACGGTGCAGGAGCTAAGTTCGATTTACCCCGATCCAAGAGGGTCTCCTTTTACCCCTCTGCTGAGTGAGGAGGAGTTAGAAACCTACTTTCGCCGCAGCTGTCCTGTTTCTTTGGGCAAAAACAGCTTGGGCATATGTCTTGGTCGTGGCAACTATGGTTTTGTGATTCCCGCCATAGTTAAATCCGAGGCGAAGGAGGGGGCGGAACAAAAAAATGAAAACGAATATCAGAGCGATACAAACGCTCTCTCCGGTGTAGGAAATGGTCGCCTGGTCGCTATAAAGGTTAGTCGTATACAGGCGGTTTGGTCACTGGACGAGGCTGAATCCCTGCGCCGCGTGACGGTATGTCGACAGTCCTTGGAAGACGAGGTGCAAATGCTGCAAAAGGAACTAAATGCGCTTCGTGACGCCGAGGCAAATGATGCCCTGCAGTCCCAACAGGAAGAGCAGCAGGCGGCACACCCAGGATGCAATGTTTCAATGAGCCTTCTTGAGTCCCGCCTGCATGCTCAGAGTTTCTTGTTGCAAGGGGCTCGACTTGTGACCAGTCTTGTTGGGGATATCATGTACGATGTTAAGAGGGATGCTTTTTGGTTTCCGCTTGAATTCTATCCCTCTTCACTGAGGGAATGTATCCAGGCTCGTAGCAAACTCTGCACCGGCTCCCCCCCGTCCGACTCTTCGTTCCCCGACATTTCCTTAAACGACTTGGGTGAGACGGTCATGGCGTTGCTTTTTTCCGTGCAGGAAATTCAGCATGTGGCACGCAGCCTCTGCCGTGCGTTACAGTTTCTTAATGCCTCCTGTTCTCTTTGTCATCTGGACGTAAAGGTCGATAACATCCTCCTTTCCACCCCGTGGGTCCCCGGTGGGCCGGAGTTGGGCAAGGCCAATTCACCGCCTGCGGGGGAGTTATCTGGCGCCCAAAGCAATACCGCAGTGCCAACGCTGCCCCAAGTTGTGTTAGGCGACCTTGGACTTGCACAGCCCCTTGATGCCCCCATCATGCAGCTTGGGGACTTTAGCACCATGGCACCGGAGGTCTATTGGGCCTCCGATTGTGGCAATGCAAACTACGCGGCATACCGCACATCGGTATTTTGCGCATCCAGCGACATGTGGAGTGTCGGGTGTGTTTTGCTGCAAATGATCAATGGACTTGAGTATAGCTCATGGGGGGCGTCGGACATGTTTGCTGCGTTGGAGGAAAACTACGTGTCGCCTGCTCTTCGGCACCCAGAAGTGTGGCCGATGGAATTGAATGACTTCATCACTCGGTGCTTTGAACGTGACCCGCGACGCCGTATGCATGCTGGCGATGCACTTCGTCACCCATTTTTGCTGTTTCATTAGTCACACTCCTATTTTCTTTTTGTTGCCTTCCCCCCTCCCCCTTGCGTTTACATACTCTTTGATTTTCTTTACTTTTGTTTTCTGTTGTTGTTATTGTTGTTGTTGTTTTGTTTTGTTTTGTTTTTTAACGGCGTCGCTGTTGTTTTTATATATACATAAATAAATAAATAAATATATATATATATGTTATATTATATTATATTATATATTATTATACGTCCTGTCTCCGCTCGTGCAACCCCTCTTTTTTTTTTTTTCCTTTTTTTTTTTCTTTTTTTTTTTTTTGTGTTGTTGTTGAATTGCCGTCTTTTCTTAAATGCAAACGAGAAGAGAATGACAGTGTTGTAAAGGCACTTCTTTTTCCTTCAATGTTTCTCCGTCTCTCTATTTTTGTCTGTCTCTGGTTGTGTGGCTGACTGTGTGTTCACTGGGGAGTATACATTGGTATGTATTGGAAAGGAGGAAGAAGGAGCGCCGTTGTTTCTTTTTTTTTTTTCTTCTTTTTTATTTGGGCCCGTTGTGTCCAAAACACTTTTACACTTTGCATCTGGATGTCGTTTCCTTTCTTTTTTTTTTTTTTTTTTTTTAAGGGAAAGGGGGGGGGGAGGGGGGGATTGTGTTTGTTTGCATTTGGAGAGAAGGCATGAAAGGAAAAAAGTGGAAGACACGTTTTATTGAAAAGAAAGTTGACAACTTTATATATTTATATATTTATATATTTATGCGATACATAAATAAAATTATACAAATTTCTTTTTCTTTTTCTTTAAATTTTATTTTATTTTAATTTATTTTTTTATCTTTTTTTTTGTTTTGTTTTGTGTTTTTGTTTTTGTTTTTGTTTTTGTTTTTTTTTTTCTTTGGATTGTGTGATTGGCTGCCGTTTGCTGAGGGTTTTGTCATGTGTGGATCTCTCTCTCTCTCTCTCTCTCTCTCTGTTTCTATGCACGCCCGAGGAACTGACATGTATGTTAGTGGGGAGCCGACAATATATACATATATTTATATATAATATAAAATATAAAATAGGAGAGATTTTTTAAATTTTCCTTTTTTTTTTTTTTTTTTTTTTTTTTTTTTTTTTATCCTTCCATTTACTGTGCTCATTGGGCGGGTGTATGTATGCGGCAGTATGTATTCTCCCTATCAGTGTGTGCGCGTGGTGGGAGGATTTCTTTATTTATATCTTTTTTTTTTTTTTTTTTTTT